TTTCAGATTAATTGAGATTACCGTGATTAGAAAGGCAAGAGCATCGAAATTCAAAATCTCCTTTTTTTTCTGAAAATTTTTGTACGAAAGTCGTAATAGTAGCCCCTTCATAATACAAGCCCCCCCCCCTAAAAATTTTGAACACTTGGACAGTTTAGAAGCCCCGGAGGCTTCTATTATGGGGGGGGGGTTACTTTAACTTTGAATGTTGTAGATGTATTGCAGTGTGATTAAACTGTTTGCTAGGTGGACTGCTTCAGAACAACTAATTAATAACCAGAGACGAATATTTTCACTAGCAGGTTGCTATTTGTTTATCTTAGCAACATGTACAACTATTTATCGGTTGGGAACAATACATAGGGAGGGAACGTCCATAATTTATAGAGAAGAAACCACCTGTTGAATGCATGAGGAAGAACTGTCAGGAAAGGAAAATACCTACCGAGGAATACGGCGTAAAGGAAAAAGACATACGATACGGGAGCATACGGGAAGATAAATATGACAGAACAGTAGAAGGGAAAAAATACATTTAACATGTAATAATAGTTGATCTAGACTTATACAACTTAACATGTTTTCGACAACTAGTATTTAGGAAACGTTAAACTACCACGAAGTACACACTTTGTTTACAACTGCATAGAGCTCTTTACACATTTCATTTTGTCCTAGTTCGGATCATAATATATTATCCTGAACTAGTCCGCTTTGTACAGTTCAGATCAAAATTTGATTTTGTCCTAGTTCAGATTAAAATTTTGATCTGAACTAGGAGAATTTTGAACTAAACTGAATTCTATTCTGTCCTTCCCTCCAACATATTCTATATGTACAAATTTGACCGACATGACGTTCTATTAGGTTTAGTGAATCAAGCTTCCCAGGGTGATGTTCTATTCCTGGTACCTTTCTATTATAGAATGGCGTTTTATTTTGAGGGTGGAGGTTAGTAAGATGTTGCATTTAGGGTATGGTGATCCCCGTTACCTTGCCTGTCTTTATGGTGGTAATTTTTTCGATTTGTGAACTTAATTTTCTAATCTTACCATTCAATCAAAGGTCGAGTGAGTCGCAGATGAACGCTAATCATAATAATAAAGAGCTTAAAATAAAACCATTTATTCTGTCTTGACTAAATAGAAACAAAAAGGTACAGATTTTGCACTTTCAAAAATCAATGGCGTGGAAAAATATGAAGTTCTGTTTTCATTGGTTCTTCTTCCTGCTGATCGTTTATCCGCTTTAGCCAAAGATTATAAATGAGAAAACCTATGCTGATACCAACAATGACAGCTTCAATAATATTAAAAACTGTTTTGAAAGAAGTAGGGTACTTAAATGGATCAACGAAAATGATCGGTACGGCCACAGACGACACAATAAATACTAACATAGTTAGAATTTTAACTGCATAATATAGTTTACCTTTTTTATGATCAATTTCTAATAAGGGTTCACTATAAATCGAATAAGATACAATGTTCAACAGCATGAGATTTCTTAATATCCTGAATTCTTCCCTACCACTTAAATATTCAATATGATGTATCTCACAAACATCGCCTTCATGAAAATCCGGTGCTAACATATTGAAAAAATGACAAGCTTGCATTGTATAATTACAATGGCGATCCATATCGGCTGCGTCCCAGACAGCACGAAGGCCAGGTGCCATTAGAAATATCATGGTTATTGAAAACAACAATGCCTGATATAACATATTACTTGCTGCTGCATTGAATGATCCCATGTAACTAACAGGAAACTTCTTGACGAAAACTCGATATACCAATTCCGTTGCTAGCAGTAAAACAACTGTTTTCACTATCCAAAATATTGCCACAGTAAATTCATCAGTGCCACAATTGCATTTAGCAATAACAAGATTGAGTATTGACAATGCCAGTAAATTTACTGGCATTGTCAATACTCAATCTTGTTATTGCTAAATGCAATTGTGGCACTGATGAATTTACTGTGGCAATATTTTGGATAGTGAAAACAGTTGTTTTACTGCTAGCAACGGAATTGGTATATCGAGTTTTCGTCAAGAAGTTTCCTGTTAGTTACATGGGATCATTCAATGCAGCAGCAAGTAATATGTTATATCAGGCATTGTTGTTTTCAATAACCATGATATTTCTAATGGCACCTGGCCTTCGTGCTGTCTGGGACGCAGCCGATATGGATCGCCATTGTAATTATACAATGCAAGCTTGTCATTTTTTCAATATGTTAGCACCGGATTTTCATGAAGGCGATGTTTGTGAGATACATCATATTGAATATTTAAGTGGTAGGGAAGAATTCAGGATATTAAGAAATCTCATGCTGTTGAACATTGTATCTTATTCGATTTATAGTGAACCCTTATTAGAAATTGATCATAAAAAAGGTAAACTATATTATGCAGTTAAAATTCTAACTATGTTAGTATTTATTGTGTCGTCTGTGGCCGTACCGATCATTTTCGTTGATCCATTTAAGTACCCTACTTCTTTCAAAACAGTTTTTAATATTATTGAAGCTGTCATTGTTGGTATCAGCATAGGTTTTCTCATTTATAATCTTTGGCTAAAGCGGATAAACGATCAGCAGGAAGAAGAACCAATGAAAACAGAACTTCATATTTTTCCACGCCATTGATTTTTGAAAGTGCAAAATCTGTACCTTTTTGTTTCTATTTAGTCAAGACAGAATAAATGGTTTTATTTTAAGCTCTTTATTATTATGATTAGCGTTCATCTGCGACTCACTCGACCTTTGATTGAATGGTAAGATTAGAAAATTAAGTTCACAAATCGAAAAAATTACCACCATAAAGACAGGCAAGGTAACGGGGATCACCATACCCTAAATGCAACATCTTACTAACCTCCACCCTCAAAATAAAACGCCATTCTATAATAGAAAGGTACCAGGAATAGAACATCACCCTGGGAAGCTTGATTCACTAAACCTAATAGAACGTCATGTCGGTCAAATTTGTACATATAGAATATGTTGGAGGGAAGGACAGAATAGAATTCAGTTTAGTTCAAAATTCTCCTAGTTCAGATCAAAATTTTAATCTGAACTAGGACAAAATCAAATTTTGATCTGAACTGTACAAAGCGGACTAGTTCAGGATAATATATTATGATCCGAACTAGGACAAAATGAAATGTGTAAAGAGCTCTATGCAGTTGTAAACAAAGTGTGTACTTCGTGGTAGTTTAACGTTTCCTAAATACTAGTTGTCGAAAACATGTTAAGTTGTATAAGTCTAGATCAACTATTATTACATGTTAAATGTATTTTTTCCCTTCTACTGTTCTGTCATATTTATCTTCCCGTATGCTCCCGTATCGTATGTCTTTTTCCTTTACGCCGTATTCCTCGGTAGGTATTTTCCTTTCCTGACAGTTCTTCCTCATGCATTCAACAGGTGGTTTCTTCTCTATAAATTATGGACGTTCCCTCCCTATGTATTGTTCCCAACCGATAAATAGTTGTACATGTTGCTAAGATAAACAAATAGCAACCTGCTAGTGAAAATATTCGTCTCTGGTTATTAATTAGTTGTTCTGAAGCAGTCCACCTAGCAAACAGTTTAATCACACTGCAATACATCTACAACATTCAAAGTTAAAGTAACCCCCCCCCCATAATAGAAGCCTCCGGGGCTTCTAAACTGTCCAAGTGTTCAAAATTTTTAGGGGGGGGGGCTTGTATTATGAAGGGGCTACTATTACGACTTTCGTACAAAAATTTTCAGAAAAAAAAGGAGATTTTGAATTTCGATGCTCTTGCCTTTCTAATCACGGTAATCTCAATTAATCTGAAA